TAGACTTTGCATGTCCTTTTAAAAACATTGTTATAAATATTTACTATAATATTCATATTAATGATATTTAGTATTAGATCTTGCAAAATGATTTGGAGAATAAGAGCCTATTTGGCATTGATGTTGGGAGGCCAGAAGCACTTATTTTGAGAGAGAAAAAACACTTCTGTTGAAAAATTAATTGTTTGGCACATTAGTAAAAGTACTTTTAAATAGAAGCAGAAGCAGTTTTTCTCAGAAACAAAAAATTATTTTTCTTAAGAATAAAATAATTTTTTCATATATACATATTTACTAATATATTTTTTATTAATTAATTAGCATATTTCATAAGTTTGGTTAAATTTCATTTAAGAATTTTATTTTTAATTTTTATATAATAAATTTAATAATTTATTTTACGTTTATTTGTAGAATTAGAAAAAAGGTAACAACAATATTTTTACAAGATCAGAAAACAGAAAAAAAAAATAACAATTAAAGATTTCATCTTCCCAAAAAGGTATAATATTGATTGAAAATTTAAACATGTAAATTTTAATTTTATGAAAACAAAAATTTAATTGATTTTTTAAATAGATATTTAAAATAGTTTCTCTCTATAAAATAATTTTAATATTAGAAGTACATTAATGGTTGTCTTTTTTTGTAATTTGACTCTTAAAAGTACTTTTAAAAAAAGATTAGTCAAACGTAATTTGCTTATGAAAAATAATTTTCAAACAAATTAGCCAAGTTTTTTTTTTGCTAAAGCACTTTTTTGAAAATTCATTTTAAAAAAGAATTTCTAAAAATAAGTTATTTTTAGCAGCAATATAAATAAGCTCTAAGTAATTAATGCTGGGAGTTAAAATATGGAAAAACTATAGCTGTCTTTTTTTGTGCTTGGTTTAAAAGTGTCAAATTTTAATACTAAGCCTTAATAAAATAAATAATTTAAGTCCTTTAGTTTAAAAAAATAATTAATCCCCCTTTCCTGCAACTCTCTCCTGTGCTCTAGTCCAGAGCTAACAGTATTTGAAGCCCTTTTAAAAAAAAAAAAAATTACGTTCAATATTTGATATTCATATTTAAAATTTGATTAATCTGATTTCATGTATTGGTTGATTCATTTTTAGGGATAATACTTTCATTTCTGAAGTAGTTAATTATATTGAAGGCTTGGAGGGTGTTCAAAAAAAGTGGAAAAAAATAAAAATGTTGCTAGTGAGTCTCAAACATATGAGCATTCTAAGTATTGATACTTTGAAGACGTCTAAAATCACTGGCCTACAACACCTTGTTTGGTCAAGATTATCTAAAATATGTTATTTAATCACTTCGTATATCTTTTTACTTATATATATGATATTATTTTCCGACCAAGGGTATCCAATTGAACGTCAGACTATAACATAACTATGTCCCTGCATGTGAGACCGACACGTAATAAGTGCTGTTTTATCTATTGTAAGAAAAAGGATAAAAATGATAACGACAGAAGAAAGAAAAAGAAGTTGTGGAAATATATGCAAAAAAATAATTTTATGATTGTAGACTTGCCACTTGGTGTATTGTGGCAGATGGTCTTCCTGCGTTGAATGGGCCGGTTAGTCAGGGCCCAGTAGTCGGTGCCTATCACAGAATGGTGGCCCACAACTCACTATTTTGGGCCCAAAAAGAGTCGGCTTCCTCCCCGACCTCGCTTCAAAAAAATAAAAACCGAGAAATATTCAGAAATAGCAAAGATAATAGACATAATAAAACTCTATAGCTATAGTTTTGGTAATTGCATTTCATAGTTATAGTTTTATTTGCTATGGAGGCTGCAGTTTGTTTGTTTCGCTTGCAAATATACAAGCAGGATAAGTACGTACAAATAGAGATTGCGGTTTGTATATTTCGCTTGCCTGTTTGTATATTTCGCTTGCGAATATACAAATAGAGGAAATATATATAAATTTTGTAATTATACATCTAAAATATTTTCAGAACTCCGTTTGTATATTTCGCTTGTCAATCAACAAACAGAGTAATTTATTATGTTTTTCTCATAAATCATATACAAAATGGCTAGGGTAAGCATTTACAAATTCAGGATTTATACAATCACGAATCGAATTATACAAATTCATAATTTATACAATCAGAGACCGAATTATACAAATGAGGAAATCGAATAGCAAATTTCGTAAAACTATAGCCACATATTAAAAATAATCAAAATTATAGCTATATTACATAATATATTCTAGATATTTCTCATTTCGTCTAAGTTTCCAATAAAATTTCACAAAGTTGCAGAAAATTAGTTGTGGTGGTCCACGCCTGACTAGTTATTTATTGATCTATTTTTAATAAAATAAAATAAATTAAATACATGTTTTTATTTTTATTTTTATCTCAATAGCAATACAATTGAATTACCATAAGTTTTATAAATTATAATATAATTATATAGCACAAATTTTAAATATACTTTTTTTTCTTTTAAAATTGTGTATAGTCAAACTGTATTATATATATTGAAACAAAAGGTGGATAATCATTTTATTTTTTATCTTGTGCTTGACGAAATAACAGTGATAACGTTGTTCAAGTAACAAAACATTTTTAGCATATAAAAAATACGTTGCACCAAACATTAGGAGGAAATGAGATCTCAACCACTTACATATTAGATATAAGAAAATAACCCATTTTTAAAATAGATTTTTTAAGTGTAAAAATAAATATTTCTCATAAAAAAAATCATAAATTTAAATAATAATAAATAAATAAATACCTACAAAATTGTTTTTCCTTTGATACGTTCTTACTTCTTACAAATTACTCTTAACTTCCAAATAACTTCCAATATTCTTACAAGTCGAAACGTTTTCCACTCTAAATACGTTGTACGTTAAAGAACATTAACAATTACATTTAAAAGTGCGACAATTATGGACATTTGGCAATTACTCTTTGAAAAAGCATCTACATGTGCCTTCTTAAGCCTTCTCATGTCCATATTAACTACTCCCTCCGTCCAACAATATTTGTCCACTATATTAAAAATAGATGTCCAATAATACTTATACACTTTATGAAATCTATGAATAATTTTACACTTAGTTTCTAATTTACCCATTAATTATAGTCATTATCTTATTACATTTTCAAGACAGTGTATTATTATATTCAAAAGGTCACATAGAAAAATTACTCTTCTATTTATAGTTTCTTAAATTGTGTGTCAAGTCAATTGTGGACAACTAATGTTGGACAGAGGGAGTAGTATTTTTATTAATTCGAAATAAAATATGTTTCACATAATTAAGAAAATATTAATTTTTTTTTCCTATTTAGAAAAGTGGGTTTTTATATACCTAAAAAATTATTTAAATATGTACAATTTAGTTTAACATAAGTTAACAAAAACATTTTTTACTATCTAGAAGTAAAAAATTCTTTAAAAATGTATCTAATCTGAAAAAACATCACCTAATATGGATCGAAAAAGTATTAATATTCTTAACTTTAAAGTATTAATATCCTTTTAAGTTGACCCTAGCGTCAAACCCATTGTGAACATTTTACTTTTTTTTTATGTTCTCTTCCTTTAGTTTAAGGATCAATCTTTTATCTTTTTTTTAAAAAAAAAATATATAAAAAGAGTAGATTTAAACCCTAAAAAATCTAAACGTGCTAAAAGATCTCAACCACTTCTTTGGAATTGTGTTTTATTGGCTTCACATTTACACTTTTATTTTCGAACCCATGAATGAAAACCTGAATCCACCAACCACCACTAATTATTGAAAATCACTTTCTCATTAAATTAAAGTCTTTTTTTTTGTTTTATCATTCGTTGTCTTTAAACGCAATTAAGTTTAGATTCATACCAACAAACTTCACATTGACATATAAAACGCTTTTTAACAAATGCAATTTATTAAAATTAAAAAATTAATTATCACTTCAGCACGATCTTTGATGAAGTTAACTTGGAAGTTATTTTGACAGTAAATTTGAGCCATAAATGGAGAATATTCTCGTAACTCAAGTTGTGTGAGTATATCTGTAGTTTCCTCCAATTATTGGGGCAACATTGAACGGTCATGTGATTCCGTGTCAGACTTTGAGCGCCCCTAAAATCTACTGACAAGTGACGAAAATTCAACGCCACTCTTTTCGTCATTTTCCAAACTACTCCGTGTCAGTGATCATTATACTTTATTTAAAAAAAAAGATTTTCTCAAAATAATAATTGAGAATTTATCATTTTACCCTTATTATTTATGAACAAAATGAATTAAAAATTTCAGATTTTTAAGATGTTTTGAATTTTTCAAAATTAATTAATCGAGGGTATAATTGATAAAAAATTTTTTGTCATTTCTTAATTTGTCAAAATGAATATAAGTAAAAAAGAAAAATTAGACAAGTAATTAGGGACAGAGAGAATAGTTGTTATATATTAGTTATTCATTTTACTAAATCAAGAAAATATTAATTAATTTTTTTCTATATTATTCTTACAATAAATTCTTCTTGGGCTCATATTTATTTGTAAGATTCCCAAAAAGTTTTTTAAGGGGTGAAATAGTAAAATTATTTTTTTATTTATGATTTCTCAAGCACCGTACAAAATAAAAAAATCAATTAATATAGAACGGAAGAAGTACTTCCTCGTTTCCTTTATACTTGTCTTTTAAAAAAAAAAAGGTAACTAAAGAGTAATTTAGTTTATGACCCTGGTAAGAAAACAAAATTGCTTCAAAACTACGTTAATAAAAGAGTATAGCTTTAATTTTTGCCAAATAAATGGGATAAATAACATAGATTGCCAGTAAATATTTATTAAATAAAAATATATATTTTATAAATACTCATGAAAAACTAAAGCGAAAATTATGAGAGAATTGTCTAGCTAAATAAAAAAACAAAAAAAAGTCGTATGTGCCTCCACATTTGGTAACGCGCCATAATTGACATAAACTCATAACGCGTCTATGGCACTGCTCTCATGTCGCGTGGATTACGTTATGTAATTGCCTTCGTAGAGTCCATAAACTTTGGAAGTTCTTTCCGATTCGCTTTGACAATTTTGAAAAGTCGAACCGACTTTCCTTTTATCTTCACCCTCAAATTTCACTAAAATCACTATTTTGCCATCCTTTTCACCTCCTATATAAACCTCTCCTCCTTCCTTTCTTAGGTTTGCAGAAATTTATTCAGTGAACAAGTTCTGTAAAACAATGGAGTTGTCATCGTCCAAAAACAAATTGCACCATAATTATCAACGATCCGTTTCACCATCGGGTCGGTTCTGTTCTTCCACTATATCTTCCTCCACCTTCTCTACTCAAACCTCTGATTGGTTAACCCGATCCACCTCCCCAACCCGAGTTAACCTCCGTCGATCAGTTTCCCCTTCCCCGTCCGTACGATTTTTCAGTTCTCCTAGCCGTTCAATTTCAGTTTTCCCTCGTAAGCCGCAGCAGAATAGTCATCCATTACCTTCCGCTTCCAATCAGAAGAAGCACTGCACGTGTTCGCCGACGACACATCCAGGTTCATTCCGTTGTAGCCTTCACAAAAATACTACTAATCGGAGTCGCGGTCAATCGTATCACTCGAGTCATCAATTGAATATGAGGAGATCAGCGATGACGAATTCGCTTGTTCGAATTGGAACTGTGGAAGGTGAATTGGTGAAGAGAGCACTTGCTGCTTTGATTCGACCGTCTTCTCATCAACTCAGGCGTAGATGTGATTTTCAGCCTAAGCCTAGTAGGCTCTCCGTCATGTCAAAGGCCGAAGATTAGATTTGTGATGTACAGTTACTGTAGTTGGGTTGATTTTCCCCTTCTTTTTTTTCTTGTTACTTCTCAGCCCTAAAAAAACAGAACCATAATTTTGTACTATTTGATTGAATGTGAATAGGAAACAAATTTAGTATATATACTTATGTATATAATAGAGTATAATATACTAGTTTAATTTTGGACCAGTAAAATGAGTGTAGCATATATTTTATGTATATATGTTACAGTTTTATCAATTTAAGTGTAATTGTCAGGTGCTATTTTATTTATTTTTTGGAGCTTTTTAAAGTCTGAACAAATTGAGATTGGTGGGTTGGTTGGTTGAACTTTTGAATGGTAGATGCAACTGTTAGTGACTCCACTGATTCAAGTATGTTTTGTTACAACTAAGGGGAGGATTAATTAGTAAATATTTGTTTAGTTCACTTTTAGTTTAATTATCAGGGGTTGTAACAACTTTGATATCCCTGAAGTGATCATAAACCTGAAAGTCTCAAGTGATCATGAACCTGAAAGTCTAATATGTTAGGTGATCCAAAGTAGCAATTTCAGTCCAGTAAAAGGAGTGCATTTAATTCATATTTAGTTAAATAGATCACTCTCTATCAAACTCTCAACAATATTGATTAATCAACAAGTGAAACAAGGAAGCCATGATTGGCCATCAGAAGAAATTAAACAAGCATAAGAAATGTATTTGAGAGAATGAGAACCAGCTTGTTCTTCACAGACAAAGTTCGCATTACACCTCTTCTCCATGATCGATAACCTCATTCCATCGAAGTGAGTTGGAACAAGTAAGATAAATATGTGCTGATGAGGACAGGGAAGTAATCGAGGGACTTGAGAAGCTTCGCAATATAGTGTGACTGTGTGAGATTAACAAATCAAATCAGAAACGGAAAACAGAGCTAAACTAATAAAACTATTTTCTATGAAAGATGAGCTGATTTAAAGATTGCTATGGCTTTGCCAAAAGATACTAAGAAAGTCTTCCAGCTGAAAAAGGGGAAGGACTTGTGTGGCGTTTGTTTGTTTGTTTTTACGTCATATGCGATGCTTATTCTACACGCTGCTTTTTTTCTTTTTGGTTCATTATCAAAGCAAAAGACAAAAAAACAAAGAACATAGGATTGAGTGTGTGATAAAATTGGGCTTTTGCCAAGCATGTGGTTGGGCCAGCTCTTATTTCAACAAGATGGTACCAAAGCACAAAACAAGAACATGGGATTCAGTGTGTGATAAAATTGGGCTTTTGCCAAGCATGTGGTTGGGCCAGCTCTTATTTCAACAAGATGGTACCAAAGCACAAAACAAGAACATGGGATTCAGTGTGTGATAAAATTGGGCTTTTGCCAAGCATGTGGTTGGGCCAGCTCTTATTTCAACAAGATGGTACCAAAGCACAAAACAAGAACATGGGATTCAGTGTGTGATAAAATTGGGCTTTTGCCAAGCATGTGGTTGGGCCTGCCCCTTGTTTCAACAAGATGGTACCAAAGCACAAGAATTACTGGAGAGCCCAAAAAAGAGATATCAGTTGCTTCATGTGGCAAGGAAAATAAAAGGAAAAAGGGGCAAATATATCTTCAACTTTGAGATTTAGAGTAGATAAATCATTAAAAAGTGGTGTATATATACCCGTCATCAAACAAATGGTGCAAGTAGAGACCTAGATTAAAGAGTTCAATGGAACATACTCAATTAGTAGTGCAGAGTGCAAAGCCATTTTGTTACGCGTTCAACAGAACTCAATAATTTTAGCTCAAATTCTATATTTAGTAAGAAAAAAATTTAAAAAATCTTGACTCTACCTCTGCACTCTCCGGTTCGTAAACAACTCTAGTAGGAGTTTCTTGTTAATTAGCAGTTGACAGCTTTGTATTCTTCTTCAACATAGCTGCCTTCCATCTTGTACTGTAATTTCTCAACGGCGCAACGGCAAAATTACAACTAATTGAATCTGGTCGACAAGTCCACATTTTTAAGCGCTTAGCAACAAGTTTATTTGCTTCCTTTATGGCTACTATTAACCATAACATATGGTTTCTTGAACTTGTAGTACTCTTCTTCTGATCCCTCTTAGCATGCTTAAGTATTTTTTGCCTATGTTTGGCTACAAAAATGCCCATGCTCTGCAGAAATTCGTCGTCGAAATAAGCTATGTCATCTTGTACAAGCTCATTGTGTGTAAAAGTAAGGGCATATTCATAAACAAGAGAAGGTTCAAGGCTAGTTTTGGAGAGCCATGAACACCACTCCATGACCAAAATGTAGCAGTTATAAATGTTGGAGAAACAAATAAAAGGACTTATATTAATAAGTCCTGTTTGTTTTCTTTTCGTGTTTGATATCTTATCGACAACTTTTCACTTTAAATGGTAAGCTACCAAAGACTATATCATTAATTTTTGGAATTTGAATACGAGATCTCAAAATCTCTAATAAAAATGAAGGCGTATTTGTTGCTCATTATAATATTTTATGGTATAAGTCTTGGTTTATTGATTGAATGGTAGGTGAACTTTGAGGTCATTTGGTAGTGGGATAAGGATATATAATCGTGTCCGATAAAATTTTGAAATTAACTTTATCATATATTTGGTTTGAACTTTGAAATATTAATTAGCTAATTTCATGATTATTTTGTCCCACCATTTGTACTGAAATGGTGGAATTATTAAATTACTATTTCATATAAAAGGTGAAATAAAATAATCTCATGAGATATCCTTACTTATCTCATCTCGCATACTAAACAATCTCTGAGAGTGATAAGGAGGAAATGTGTTCTTGAGTGTATGTAAACAAAGTCTTACATATGGAAAACATATAAGAAAATTGTGCGAATTTGATCAAAACAGACAATATAATTTTTTTTTTCTTTGCCATCAGTCACGGCTTAGAAGAGGGGTTTGCTATGGACTTCTTGGTCACTCTAGCATAAATTTTTCTTCCACAACTGTTGTCCTTTTCTAGATAAAACAAAGGGATACGTTTTAAACAAATAAGAATTATTGTATATAAATGTCCACACAAGGGGTTTAGTGAGTGAAGTCTAAAGATACTTAGATCAAACCAAACAATTTAATTTTGATAGTTAAAATTTAATAGTATACTATTTTTATAGGTACGTGAATGATTTGATGAACTAAATGATGATCAAATTACTCTACTATCTTTTTCCTTACGCGTATAAATAGAATGCTGCAATTTGTTTGACAAAGAACAAGGCCAATTCATTAGTTAAGAAAAAAGAAAAGAAATTCATGACTTTTAATAAGCAAATTAATCATCAACTCAACATTGACAACAACATACCTAATATAATGTTACAGGTTGGATTTAGAGAATGTAAAGTAAACACAAATTTTATTTCTATCTTGTAAGATAGGAAAATTGTTTCTAATAATAAGATAAACGAATTAAAAGAAACAATAATTTTACTAGATCGAGATCTAAAAATAAGCAAACCTAAAAAGTGTTAATCACAACTCAATTACAATCTATATCTACCATATATGCAACTTTAATTATAGTTGATTGATTAGAAGATATATTACATAGTATTGGCCTAGAATAAAAATATTAGATTTGCGCTCTTAGTGGATCTTGCATAAAGAATTGCAGAAGTATTATAAACCTTACAGTTCCATTTTTTTTATTGACTTTGATGCAGTAGAGTAAAATTTGAATGCCTATTCATAATTATTTACTGTTAAAATATTTCTTCACATTAGTTTTCTTTTTATTATAACTATGTAACGGATAAATTGAAGAGCAAAATTGAGAAAATGACAAAAGATGGTCCATCATCTTTGATAGTAGATTAAAAGTAGTTGTTTAAGTATCAATTGAACAATTTTGATCCTTTAAATTTATCGAAAGTGCGTATTTTTAATCTCCATCAAATATTACCAACTCTGATTTGTTAAATTTCACCAGAATTGTAAAATAGACCGAGAAACTTTTGTCAAATTCTCAACCCCCAATATAAAACACTACATCAAATACAAAAGTAAATAGTAAATAATAGAAATTACAAAAGGTTACATCAAACTCTTAAAACAGACGAAATATAACATAAACTACAAAATTAGTACTTCTCAAATGTGAATTCCTACTAAGTATTTTCTATTTTCATAGTTTTGATTAAATTTAACCCCAGCTTAAATTTAAGGCACAAGTATTCCTATACTATGACCGAAATTGTAGATGCACACTTTAACTAAACTAGGATCATATTATCCCGAACTCATTTTATTTTTGTAATTTTAAACACATTTTGACTTACGTAACACATTTCGTGACTCCACTTAGTTGAGACGCGTGAGATGTTTGAAGGCCACGCAAACCAAAAAGATGTACAAAATTACAAAAAATAGGTTTGGGGGTAATATGACCTTAATTTAGTTAAAGTATGTTTCTAGAATTTCGGTTATAGTCTAGGGGCTACTTGTGCCTTATCCCAATTTAAGCTATGAGAATATAGCAAACATTGCATTTATCAAACTCAAAGGCTTGAAATAACTCAAATGATACTCAGAGGATTATTTTGAACCTACCACAAAAGATAATAGACCATTTTGTCATTTTGGAAAATCAATCGGCATATTTACAGTTTGGGTCAAATTATTAGATTAGATAAAACGCAGTGTCGCATTTTCGTTACTCTTTCTTAGCGTTGACACTCTCTTCTCCTTCAGTGCTGCGCCGCCGCTTCATCCTCAAACCCTCCTCATTACGACGTCGTTTTCGTCTCTATTCATAGCCAAGGTTAGTCTGAGATGGCTGCCAATCTCGGTTTTTCCGATTGCTAATGCCCAAACCTCGTTTATTGTGTTTTTCCTTTCAATTTATCTTTTTTCTGTTTTGGGTGCATTGTGTTAGATTTGATGCTTTATCTAATTTCATGTTAATGGGGTTTAATGAGGTTTTGTGTTACATTATATGGAGCCTTTTTATATGTCTAATTTTGTAGCTGTTCTTTTTGTATTATGTGCAATACTGAGGTTATTGTGTTGTTTTGAGGTGTGCTAAAATCCATTTCTTTCATTATTGTCATGATTTTAAGTCATACCTGTTTAGATGGGCAAAAGTTTAAATCTTTTGATGTAGGACCTTCTTGAAACTACCTTTTGGGCATTATTCGCAGCTAGCAGCTTCTATTTTGAGTAATTTCGTAGTTGGTAGTGTTGAAAGGCAAATCTGGATGGAAATTTTGATGCATATATTGATAAGGGTGCA